TGTTCCATGTGGGGGAAACCTCAAGTGCAAAGGTCCCAAGGAAAGGAGGAATACATTCACTTGTTTGAGGAGCTAAGTAGCATGGTGGCCTACATAATGACTGAGAGGAGGAGGCTTAGACACTGCCACTTTGACTTGGCTTGTAAGTCGTGCAGCTCACAGAGATTCACCTCTTGTTCTGGAAGAAAATATGTTTAGAGTCCACAGAAAGAAGCGTAATGGTAGCTCTGTACTGGTGGCCATGTTATTTACTGGGTTATTACTGTGGACGAAAGAGGCCACATGCTAAGTTATGATGGGTAATCATGGTCTAGCCCTAGGCTGGTATCTTCTCTGACAAGGTCAATCTTATCTTAACTGAGCCTATTGTCTTTTTGCATCTAAGATAGCATACCTGTGAAATGTCAGAGTAACTTGTAACTTCCCTTTTTCCGACCCTGGACCCCTCGGGGCACAACCAAATATGCCTGGGTGCCAGGATGGAGACCACAAATTCCTTCATTGTTATTGTTATCATGTTAATTGTTGACTGTTAACTATCCTGTACCCACCTAAGTAAAAGAAGTATGTGTCTATCATTTTACTTTTTATCCAATCCCAGAGGTTCCCTCTCCCCCACGCTTTGCTTTCTCCTGCCTCCCTAATCTATCACCAGTGGATTTCATGTAACCCATTTACGTCTCCTCCTTTGAATGCCATGTATAAAACAAGGTGAAAAACCACCGTTCTCCGGAGCATTATCCCAATCCGTTGAGATTTTGCTTTCTGGCAATTGTCGACAGTTTGGCTCAAATAAACTCACCAAAATTTTTTACAGGCTTGAATGCTTTTTACGTTAGCATTACTAAGCCTTTTCTCATGCCTTGGTGGCAGTGGGGTGGGGGTGGGGGTGGGGTTCATAAAGTGTCCTAGAAACAGATGCCTTGGGTCTCATGGCCTGGCCTAAGAGGGTTACTTATTTGGAAAGCTTTGGAGTCCAGGTATCTAAAGAGGACCACAGCCAAGGATGCACTAGGAAACATCCTAGACCAGGGTGGGCAACCTTTTTGTGAGTGCGTGCCAAAACCAGCAAAATCTCTGACTCAAAATTCTTCTGCGTGCCAACCCTAATTTTTTGAGAACATGTTACGCCTACTTGATATCTCTTAAGGTGTACGTATGTGAAGAAACTTGAAGAAATAATAAAATTCATTCGAGCGACAAAAACATAGTATATGATGATGAAAAATACATTTATTTTTTAATGTATACATGTACACTGACAGTCCGACAGAAAACTTTATGACTCCATTTGATATTATCAGTGCTGCTGCATCACTGATGACAGAGATTTTACATCAGGTTTATATTTTGTGACCTTCAGAGATATGCACGAGCTACTACTTTCATCCGTCAGGCTACTCCTATTACGAGACTTAACAAAATTCATCACTGAGAACAAAGATTCACAAGCGTATGTGGATGAAACCAAAACACTGGTCGGATCTAGGAAGGCAGGGAGAGTTAAGGCAGAGGCATAGAAATTGCTCTTCCCCTCTCTCGTCAATCCATGTCTATGGTCTTTAAGATAACTTGTTATGTAAAATTAGTTATTTATCTAAGATGCACTTACACTGAATTTATCTGAAAAATAAAAAAGTCGATATTAAGAAAAAAATTGTAAATGGAAGATTATAAGAGAGGGTTTCACGTGCTAGCAAAAGTTACTGGTGTACCATGTTTGGCACTCGTGCCAGGGTTTGCCCACCCCTGTCCTAGACTCTATCTATTAGAATAATTAAAGCTATAAGATTTCTCCTTTGGGGGTGAATCTGGAGGGACAGTTTGTAATTGCACACCTTGATGAGGACCCTAATGAGTCACCGGTATCCAGCAAGTCCTATATGGGATGCTATAAGGGTGCCTGCTGACTCCCTGATAACCCTGTCCTTGTGACCTTCTTCAGTCTCACAACAATTCTTTGAGGTAGATATTATTTCTGTTTACAGATGAGGAAATTGAGGTTCAGAGAAGTTAAGGAATATGCCCAAGATCACACAGTATGCTAGCAGACAGGTCTTTCTGACCACAGTTTTCTTGTTTCCATCATCACATTGCCCTCAAACATCTGTGTCCTAAAAGCCTGAGATGGGGAGAATCCTGGACCTGCCCTAGGTCCCTAGTTCACAGGCCTGCTACTTAAGAGGTTCCTTGGCAGTCAGGGCTTTGAGAGTTGGTAGCTAGAAGTATAAATATTTATTCACTCATTCAGAAATATTTATTGGGTGCCTATCTTCTAGGCCCTGTGGGTGTAACAGTAAATAAAACATAAAAATCACCTTCACAGAGCTGGCAATCTACTGATGAAGTTAACTGTGTAGAGTATTGATGTGTGTTATGGAAAAAGCATAAGCAATGCGCATTGAAAAGGAATAGGGGGTACGGGGCTGTGAAGCTGTAATGTTAAATAGGGCTAGAGAGTGACATTTGAGCAAGGCTTGAGGGACCTTTGGTGTGTGAGAGTCACCTGATTGTACTTGGTCTGAAAGAAGAAATTGTGAAACACAGGGTCTCTGCTCGAACCTTCTGTGTCTTGCTCCCTGTGTGTGCTGCTGCATTCATTGCTCATCCCAGGGTTTGTTTCTGCCTCTGGAGGATGGAGAGTGGTAGGAGGCAGATCGTGTGGGAATGCTGGGCTCTTTGTGATGGCAGCAGGCCTGGACCTGTCCAGGGGAGGGGGTTATTGAGGGTTGGCTTTTTCTGATTCAGAGAAGTTCCTGGGCAGAGAGCCCAGCACCTGGTACTGGTGCTCCATGTGACTCCCCGGCTGAGGCCCGAGGGACTGAGGCCTTACTGTCTTTCTGTGGGAGTGAGCAGTCTCCCCACACCTGCACCCTGGGGTTCTGAATTACGGGACTCAGCTGGTTGGGCCAGCTCAGCCCTTGTCATGTTGAGGATTTCAGCCAGCACTGCTGCCAGGGCCTGTGGAGATGACTGCCTGCTCTGTTGGGCTGGGTCAAAGGACTAGGAGGCCAAGGGCCAAATATCATGCAAACGGAGCCCCACCCTCTCTCCCTACAAGACGGCTCAAAGGTTAAAGAAGACTGAGAAGACACCCACACAGTGTTTTGTTGTTGTTAATCCTCACTCAAGGGTATTTTTTCCATTGATTTTTTTGTTTGTTTGTTTTTTGTTTGTTTGTTGAGAGAGTGGCAGGGGGAGAGAGAGGGAGAGGAGAGAGAGAAACACCGCTTCCCATAACCACACCCCTCAAATCCTTCCCCACTGTTTTCTTTCTCCTTCTCTCCCCATCTCCTAACCTTTCCTGTTCTCCTTTCCTCACTCCTTTCTCCCTTTTCTTTTTAAATGTATTTTTATTGATTCAGAGAGGAAGGGAGAGGGAGAGAGAGAAACATCAATGATGAGAGAGAACCATTGATTGGCTGCCTCTTACATGCCCCCTACTGGGGGTTGAGCCTGTAGCCCTTGACTGGAATCGAACCCTGGACCTTTCAGTCTGCAGGCCAACACTCTATCCACTGAGCAAAACCAGCTAGGGCTCTCCATTTTCTTTTTATACCAACTTGCAGTCTCCTGCTTCCCTTTCAGAGTGCATGTCAGGAGTTTTATTTATTTATTTATTTATTTATTTATTCATTTATTTCCTCACCCGAGAATATGGCTTTTTTAAAAATTGTTTTTGAGAGAAACATCGTTGTGAGAAGCATCAATCGGTTGGCTCCTGTACACACCTCAACTGGGGATCAAACCCACAACCTAGGTATGTGCCCTGACTTGTAATCAAACTTGCAACCCTTTGGTGTATGGGATGATGCTCCAATCAACTGAGCCACCCAGCCAGGGCTATTTTTCGTGTTTTTCTTTTTTGGGGGGGGGCGGGGGGAAGAATCACATCTTTATTTTCATTAACCTTTAACTAACATTTAGCATTTCCTTTTTTTATTTTTTTTCAATTATAGTAGACAGACCTTGTTATATTAGTTTCAGGTGTACATCCCAGTAATTAAACATTATATAACTTACTAAGTGATCATCTCATATCTAATACCCATTTCACACTATACATAGTTATTACAATATTATTTACTATATTCCCTATGCTGTACTTTACATCCCTATGACAAAACCAATCTGTACTTCTTAATCCCTTCACCTTTTTCACACACACACACACACACACACACACACACACACACACACACCAGGGCTGGGCACCTGTAACCCAGGTACGTGCCCTAGACTGGGAATTGAACCGAGACCCTTTGGTGCACGGGCCGACACTAAACACTGAGCCACACCGGCCAGGGCCCACATCAGTGCTTTTGAGGTCTGTTCTCTTGAGAGGACCTCAACAAGCTGGGCACAGGGGGAACTTTGGATGTCTTCGCCAAGTTCTGCCCTCACTTCAACATCTGCATTGTTGTCCCCACAGGTGTGATAATGGGTTGTCCTCTTTATTCCTTTTTACAATTTTGCCCTCCCCCTCCCTTCCTCATCTGATATGTTGTATGTGGGGCTAGGGGGCTGTGGGGAGGGGGGCCGGTGCAGCTCCTGCACAGTACACATGTAGGTGTACATGTGGGAGGCCTCACCTCTCTTTGGAGCACAAATGCTTGACACGTGTGTGTATATCCAAGCCTGTGAACCAGCTATACATCCATGACTTGTATTGCCCAAATCGTGTACTCTTTCTTCCTGTACCCCTTCCTGGGCTGTGTGTGAGGATTGTAGGAAGGTCTGTGTCCCAGCTGCCCTTTCTGAGTATGGCCAGAGACGGTACTGGTGTTTAGGGACCCCTTTCACCCTCATGGGGCTGCAGAGATAGGCCCTTGTGGGCAAGGAAAAGAAGCAAGAAGAACAGATTGCAGAAGAAAACAGTCACTTGCCCTCTGTGGCAAGCGGAGCCTCTCTGCTGGGTGACTGGAATTCCCAGGTGGCCTGGGAGCTCCTTGGGGAGCTGTGGTTTGGTGCTAAGTCTGTTGTCTAACTCATCTCCCCAGGTGTGTGGTCGTGCTGTTCAACCCCCGGAAACACAAGCAGCACCACATCCTCAACAGTTCCAGGTAAATGGTCTGGGCCCGCAGAGAGCAACCCCTCTTCCTGCGGACTGGGACGAGGGCACCGCCTGGGGTCTCTGCGACTCCTGGTTGGGCCCCAAGGCCACAGAGGGGAATGCCACATGTGCCATTGATGTCTGCCGGTCTTGCCTTTCTTGCCTTTTGAGGGAACTGTGAGGGAGCAAGGCTTAGGCCAGGCTGCCAGTGGCCCTCTGAGCCTGCCTCATCTCTTGCAGGAAAACCATCACTGCTCTTGCCTTCTCCCCTGATGGCAAGTACTTGGTCACTGGAGAGGTGAGTGAGGAGAAGGGGCTACAGTTCTGTGAAGAGGGTGGGTGTTCTGCCCTCAGCCGAGAGCTACAATTCTAGGCCTAGTTAGGGCTGCTGCCACTTTGGCTTCCAAAACAGAAGCCAAATCCTGGTGTTTGCTACATCTTAAAACAGTGGTTCTTAAGCTTCAGTGTGCATCAGAATCACCTGGAGGGCTTGTTAAAATGCACAGTGGTAGGCCTAACCCCAGTTTTTGATTCTGTAAGTTTGGGATGGGGCTCCAAAATTTGTATTTCTAATAAGTTCCCACATGCTGATCCTGCTGGTTTGGGAAGCACTTTCAAAACCACTGCCTTCAAATATTCCTTGTCCCCAGAGGCCCCCTGCTGGGCACATGAGGAATACCTCTTCCCGCCGAGACATTGGGGCAGAAATAGGCAGGTAGTAGTTCTCAACCCTGGCTGCCCATAGAATCACTCAAGGAGCTTTGAACAAATACAGAGCTGTAGACCCTCACCCGGAGATATTGAACATAATCTGGGCCATGTTCTCCCTGACACTTACTGTTGTCCCGAGACACTTGTTGTTTCCTCTCTACCTTTGCCCTGTACAGCACTCCGCTCTTGACTCTTGGCAGAGGTCATTAGAGAAGATTGTATCCAGTAGCTGAGGAGGCGAGGGCCCCCACTTTGAAAGGCTAGTGGGGTCTGTATGCTTCTGGCCCTCACTTCCAGTTCTCGCCTCCCTGCAGAGTGGGCACATGCCAGCAGTGCGGGTTTGGGACGTGGCTGAGCGTAGCCAGGTGGCAGAGCTGCAGGAGCATAAGTACGGTGTGGCTTGCGTGGCCTTTTCCCCTAGCGCCAAGTACATTGTCTCCGTGGGCTACCAACATGACATGATCGTCAACGTCTGGGCCTGGAAGGTGAGTGGGCTGGGTGGGCTGGGCTGGCAGCCTCACGGGGTTCAAGGGCCAGTTGGAGAGCCAGGAAGATACTGACCTGAGTCCCTTCATTCTACTCTGCTAATCTCAGCCTCATTCTAGAAAATGATCTGAAGCAGGAAAGAGCAACTATAGCCAAGCGTGTTGGTAGAAAGGGGCTAGCTTCCTGCCTTTGAGGACCTCCATAGGAAATGAATCTCTTCAACTCCTCTGAAAAGGGATTCTTTATCCTCCCCCTTTTTTTTCAGACCAATAAACCATGAAAAGAAAGATCTTTTTTTTTTTTTTTCAAAGCTCCAAGAGGCAGGACCTTGATTCTCCCTTTGGCTTTCTCTCCAGAAAAACATTGTGGTGGCCTCCAATAAGGTGTCCAGCCGGGTGACAGCAGTGTCCTTCTCTGAAGATTGCAGCTACTTTGTCACTGCAGGGAACCGACACATCAAATTCTGGTACCTTGATGACAGTAAGACCTCAAAGGTGAGATGCTGAGGCTGGAAGTAGCCAGCAGGGTCAGGGCCTGCTCAGCCCACCCCAGGAGACCCTGCTCCATTGGGGCCCTTTGCTGTTTGCTCGGCAGCTGTACAGAAGTTCTGGATGAGCTAGATGCTCTCAGGACCGCGGGGTAGTCTCACAGAGCAAGGGGGCCTAGTTTCTAGGGGCAGGCTCTGGCGGTAGGTGGGTGGGCAACAGTGATATGTCCCCACAGGTGAATGCCACTGTGCCCCTGTTGGGCCGCTCAGGGCTGCTGGGGGAGCTACGGAACAACCTGTTCACCGATGTGGCCTGTGGCCGAGGGAAGAAAGCAGACAGTACCTTCTGCATCACATCCTCAGGGCTACTGTGCGAGTTCAGCGACCGGAGGCTTTTGGATAAGTGGGTGGAGCTGAGAGTAAGTACCCCTGGCCCAGTTGGTAGGGGCTGTGCATGTAATGGCTCAGGTGAGAATTGATACCTGTGGCTTATACCAGGGGCTGAGCCCTCGTGCATGCAGGAGGGGACCCCAGGAGAGAGAACTCCGCCCAGTTTCAGCCCATGGAGATCTGTATAACTGCCTCCTCTCTGCTCTCTTTCTGTCTGTCTTTCCCCTGCTTTCCTCTTCTGCTCAGAACACAGACAGCTTCACAGTAAGTGATGCCTAGACTCTCCTGTCTTTCTCGTGCTATTTTCTTTTCTTTGCTGGGCTTTTCCTACTTTGTTTTCTTTGCCAAAACGTCCAGTATCTTAGGAGGGTCCTTGACTCCCATCCCCCAAAGGGCACATGACTATGGGCCCTCTGGCCACCTGCTGCTGGAGGGAGGGGCATCTCTAGATAACAGCTGATGGGCTCAGGCCAGAGCAGCTGGGCTGCTTTTCCTTTGCCGGTGCCTTGGTTGGTCTCTCCTCTTGGCAGGTGATTGTTGAGGAGGGGTTGGCAGGTGGCCTCTCCTGACCTGAGCTCCTCTGCCTGCAGACCACCGTGGCCTACTGCATCTCTGTGAGCCAAGACTACATCTTTTGTGGCTGTGCTGATGGCACCGTGCGTCTCTTCAACCCCTCTAACCTGCACTTTCTCAGCACCCTGCCCCGGCCCCATGCCTTGGGGACAGACATTGCCAGTGTCACTGAGGCCAGGTGAGCTCTGTGCGCCCCCTGCGTCCATTCACAGCCTCATGCTGTGCTCAGCCTTTAGGGAACAGGTGAAGAGTATCCATGCCCCTAGGATAACCAGAAATACCTCTGTAGACAAACAAATTTGGGTTTATTGGTACTTGTTGCAACCAAGGAGAAATGGGGAGTATCTCAGTAAGTGGGGGCTGTTTTAAGTGTAGGGGTATTGTAAGATTTGAGATATATGTGAGGTGATTTTAGAAAGGTTCAGGGGTTGAAATTTTGCTCAAGGTTCAGGGGTTGAAATTTTGCTCTGGTTGGATGCTGTCAGGAAGTGGGGGCAATTTTATAATTAGGCATCCTAATAATTTTTACCTTATGAAGTGGGACTAAAGCTGTAATTGGTAAAGCAGCAGCAGTCAATCCTGATAGACAGGAAAGGGTGGTGTTTGGTTATTTTTGTGGTTTGCACAGTGATCTTGTTTTTATCTCTGTCAGACACATGGCAGTAATCTTGTTTTATTTTGCTCTGCCATGGCCATAGAGTGGCCCTGTCTGACGTTGGTGTTCTGTGACAGTGTGCTCATCAGGAGAACACCATGGCCCAGTAGCTAGTGCCAGGTCAGCTCCCAGCTGACGGCTGTCAGGGGCTGCTTTGTCTTTCTTAGGCAGCTGCTTTCAAACCTGTGGGTCTGGAGAGGGCTCCCATGCCCTGCTCCTTCCGTCATGGGTTAGCTTCTGTTTTCATTCCTTTTAGTCCTTCATTTTATCAGCTCCTCACTCACCAGTTTGCTTATCCTCTTCCCACAGTCGCCTCTTCTCTGGAGTGGCCAATGCCAGGTATCCAGACACCATTGCCTTGACCTTTGATCCCACTAATCAGTGGCTATCTTGTGTATACAACGACCACAGCATTTATGTTTGGGATGTGAGGGACCCCAAGAAAGTGGGCAAGGTGTACTCGGCTCTGTATCATTCCTCCTGCGTCTGGAGTGTAGAGGTACGTGGGCTGGGATGGCTTGAGACAGGCCAGGTTTGCTGGGATGGCTTGAGACAGGCCAGGTTTGCTGGGATGCCGTTGTGAAGACGGGAAGTGGGATCCCCAAGTACCCAAGTATAACGTTATGCTCCTTGTTTCTCTAGCAGCATCCCTGTACCTCCACCTATCTTCGGATGGGTCCTGATGATTGAGCTTGCATTTTATGCTTCTGTATCTTAGGCTTCTTCCAATGTGGCCCTGTCCATTCTTAGCTTTGCCTTGTCCGAGGCTCAGTGATTTTGGACAAGTTAATGAACTTGACCGAACTTCAGTTTCCTCAACTGTAAAATGATGTACCTGATTCACCTAATTGTTCTGAGAAGTAAATGAAATAATGTTAAGTGGGAGACATAGAAGAGTCCCTGGCATAGAGTAGGTGCTTGGTTAATGTGCTTTCCCTTAGTGAACATCTAATAATTATGGCTTGCTTACTATGTGACAGACACTAGGCTAAGTCTTGGCCAGTGAGATTATCCCTTTAATGAGATTATTCCTTTAATCTCATTCCCTTCTCCCTGGGCGAAGGACTGCTCCCTACCTGGAGATCTGACTTGGTTCCCTCTGCCCCTTCAGGTCTACCCAGAAGTGAAGGACAGTAACCAAGCCTGCCTCCCCCCTAGTTCCTTCATCACCTGTTCCTCAGACAACACCATCCGCCTGTGGAACACAGAGAGCTCCGGGGTGCATGGCTCCACCCTGCACCGAAATATCCTCAGCAATGTGAGCCCTGAGGCCTTAGGGCCCCCACTCTCTACTTAGTATTCCCATCCCCTCAGCCTTCATACCTTCTCAGGAACGGGGTCCCCAGACCTTGATCTTCCAGCTCTGATTTGACTGGGCTCTTTAAGCCAAAGGCTTATCTTGTGCAGCAATCCTCTTCCCTTGCAATTATATTGGGTCAGGCCTGCCTTACCCACTTCTCTGCATCTGCTCCCCCAGGACCTCATTAAGATCATCTATGTGGATGGGAACACTCAGGCCCTGCTGGACACTGAGCTGCCTGGAGGAGACAAAGCTGACGGGGCCCTGATGGATCCCCGTGTGGGCATCCGTTCTGTGTGTATCAGCCCCAACGGACAGCATCTAGCTTCGGGGGACCGTATGGGCACGCTCAGGTAACGCCAGGCCTGGAGTGGATACTGACGGTGTCTCATGGTGCAGGCTGGAGGAGTTAGGTCCCCAAGGACAGAAAAGTTTGGTTCAAAAAGATTGGGGGAGATATTTATATACAAGGGAAAGATAACTTTACAATGAAGAAACACAGCAGAAACCATCCTCAAACAAATGATCGAGCTTAATATCTTCATGTCAACATCATGAAGCCCATAATATGATATAGTAATAAGGACATAGCACTGTTTCTGTGTTATTCTTGCCAAAAATGCATACACTCATTCCAATCTTGAGAAAACATCAGACAAACTCAAAGTGAGGTACATGTGGCAGAGTACCTATATTGATCTCTTCAAAAGCGTCAGGGTCATGACAGGTGAGGGAAGACTGAAGAACTATTCAAGACTGCAAGAGACTAAAGAGAAATAACAACTAATGCAAATTGGATAGGATCCTGGATTCAGAAAAAAAACATTGTGGAAAAACTGGTGAAATCCAAATAAAGTGTTTTATTATTAGTATTGTATGAATGTAAATTTCCTGGCTCTGGTCATTGAACTGTTGTTATGTAAGATGTGTACATTTGGGAAAGCTGGGTAAAGGAAACATGGAAACTCTTCTGTACTCATTACAACCTTCCTCTAAGCCTAAAAAAAATAGTAAATGTTGGAAAAGATTGGGAGAGAGGTTGTAGCAGAGAAAGCAGCGTGAATCTCTCTTCCTGAAGCCTGGCAATGACCTCTACCATCCTCTCCTCATTTCTGCAGGGTGCACGAGCTGCAGTCCCTTAGTGAGATGCTGAAGGTGGAGGCCCATGACTCGGAAATTCTCTGCCTGGAGTACTCTAAGCCAGACACAGGTCAGGAGGATACCTGGTCCCTAGCCCCGAATGGCACAGGGCTCCTCCATCCTGCTAGTGCCACTTACCTCTGTCCTGGCTCTTGGACGTGAGACTGAAAGTCCTTTGAATCATTTGGTGTCTTTGCAGGTTTAGAGGAGGACAGCTCCATCCCTGCTCCATGGGGCTCAGTTACTGCAGGCCTCTTTGCCTGGCTCAGGTAGGGGCCTGCTCTGGGCACTTGTGGGCTGATGAGTTCTTCTAACCCCAGGTCTGAAGCTGCTAGCGTCAGCGAGCCGGGACAGGCTGATCCATGTGCTGGATGCTGGACGGGAGTATAGCCTACAGCAGACGTTGGACGAGCACTCGTCCTCCATCACTGCTGTCAAGTTTGCAGGTGGGGGCAGGGTAATTGAGGCACATTCTGCCACCTACCACCAACATCATCCTTACCCCTCTCCCCACTGCCACCTGCCTTCCGCCGCTGTGAGAAGGGTGTGCCTGTCATGGGGAATGTTGGACAGCTGCTGGGAGGCCTGGGGCTGGATGGGAAGGCAGGTGGAATGTAAACTCTTAGTCCGGGGGATCCTGAGCCAGCCAGGTGGGCTGAGGATAGGGGTAAAGGAAAGCCCAGGTTTGGAGGTAAGCATCCTGATTTAATTGGTTGTCCCAGTCATGTAGAGTAGCTCAATAGGGGGGAAGGAAGGGAGAAAGGCAGAGGAAAAGCTGGCCCCACGTGGTGAGAGCAATGGGAATAACTAGGCCTCTCTCTTCCATAGCCAGCGATGGGCAAGTCCGCATGATCAGCTGTGGAGCAGACAAGAGCATCTACTTCCGCACTGCACAGAAGGTGAGGGGATGGGGTTTCCTTGAATGGCGCAGCGAGAGGTGCTGGGGGTCTCTGCCATTCCCGTACCTGAGGTTATGAGAGGTGAAGAGAGAAAGCAGGGCTCTCTGGGCCTGGTGAGACATGGGGCTTGGGTCTGTCCATATGCTCCACCCCTGCAGTCTGGAGATGGAGTCCAGTTCACACGGACACACCACGTGGTACGGAAGACGACCCTCTATGACATGGACGTGGAGCCCAGCTGGAAGTACACGGCTATTGGCTGCCAGGACCGAAATATTCGGTGGGCATCTTTTTTTCAGACCATCTGACCACATTCCTTGACGCCCAAGGGGGTCAGCTCTAGGCACCTCAGTCCCCATGTCTGCCTTTTTGTCCAGGACTTTGTGACCTCTTGAGCCCATGGAATGAGTACTTTGCCTCACCCAAGAGGTGGTAGTCCCTTTGGTGTAGGGGAGTGGCTCCTATAGAGAATGTGGGAGTGAATTCTGGCATTTCTGCCACCCAGGTGTGCTGGATCGTGACCTCTTCCTCACGTGAATGAGAGTGTGTTTCTTTACAGGATCTTTAACATCAGCAGTGGGAAGCAGAAGAAGCTGTTTAAAGGGTCACAGGGTGAGGATGGCACTCTGATTAAGGTAAGGGCCAGTAGATGGGCTCTGGGCCAGAGAACAGGAGGATGGGGTGCTAGGTGGAGGCGGACCGGTGCTTCCCATCTCCTCCCAGCTGTGCGTCCCACTCCTCAGGTGCAGACGGACCCCTCGGGGATCTACATTGCCACCAGCTGTTCTGACAAGAACCTCTCCATTTTTGACTTCGCCTCAGGCGAGTGTGTGGCCACCATGTTTGGCCACTCAGGTGAGTGTAGCCCCAATACTCTACCGCTGGAACTTTACTCTTCCTTTAGTTTTTTGGGACCTATCAGAACTGCCTGCCCCTCCCTTCCAAACAACCCCCGACCTCCACTGTTGGAATAGGAGCTTGGCTGGGACTTCAGGGGCTCATAGGCCATATTCTTTGTTCTCCACAGAGATTGTCACTGGCATGAAATTTAGTAATGACTGCAAACATCTCATCTCTGTGTCGGGGGACAGGTGAGCAGAAGCCACAGCACACCCTCCCCTCCCCTCTTCGTCTCATGATGTCTCTGGGAAGTAGGGCTGAAAGGGGTATTTCTTGGCTGGACCTGACCCGCACTACAGGGTGGCTCTGGTCTCCTTGTCAGCCCATGGAGAAGGGGAACCAATGGTGTTGCTGCCCCCAGAGTTCTACCCTCCCCCTCCCTCACACAAGTCTGTGGCTCTACACAGCTGCATATTTGTGTGGCGCCTGAGCTCTGAGATGACCATCAGCATGAGGCAGCGTCTCGCTGAGCTGCGCCAGCGGCAGCGAGGGGTCAAGCAGCAAGGACCATCCTCTCCCCAAAGGACGGCTGGACCCAGTCGGTGAGAACAGAGTATGGGATGTGGGCCAGCAGTGGGTGGGCGTCCACGTTGCTTGCTGTCATCTTACTGCTCCTCCTCTTTGCTCTGCACCTGCCATTCAGCCACTCTGTATCCCCCAATACCTGTTTCTCACATGAAGACCTGTGACATTGTTCTCTTTCCCCATGACCTTCCTTGTCTTGGACTCAGGCACGAGGCCCCGTCGATGCTCTCTTCTGGACCAGCTCTCTCATCAGATAGTGACAAGGAGGGAGAAGATGAGTGCACTGAAGAAGAAGAACTTCCAGCTCTGCCCATCCTTGCCAAGGGCACCAAGAAAGAACCAGGTCTGTGGAAGTCTGGATGGGGCTAGACAGGCACCAGAGGGTATAGTGGCTGGATATACTCTTTCTGAGACTGGGGGGTAAGAGCAATGTGAGCCGAGGAAACTGGAGCATCATTGTGGCCACATAGGGTATGGACTGGTGTGGGCCAGGGCTCTGGGGTGGGTGGGCAGGAGACATTCTCTGACTGCCTGTCTCTGTCTAGCCTTGGTGCCCAGCCCAGCCCTGCCCCGAAGCCTGTCCCACTGGGAAATGAGTCGGGTGAGTCACCATTGTTAACATGCCCTTCCAAGGTTACAGAGGTGAAGGAAGGTGAAAGCAGGGCTCTGGGCTTGGCAAGGCCTTTGGGTGTGGGGTCTTCCCACATGCTCCACCCTTTGTGTCCAAGGAAGAACCTTGTGGGAGGAGTTTGGGCAGCTAGGCTGGTCCCAGGTCGGGGATGATGAAGCTCAGGCATTGCCTTCCTGTAGGCCAGGTGAGGGGCCTGCAAGGATTAGTCGCTGCTGGGGAAGCACTGCACTTGTTCAGCTGCCTGGGGGCCTGGGGGTAAATGTGAACAAAGAAAGGTTGAGGTGGGGAGTAGAAAGGGGGTTTCTGAGCCAAATGGTTAAAAGTAAAGTTCAAGAAAATCAAAGATCCAAAGAGCAGAAATGTGGAGAAACTATAGCTCTAAAGATCCCAGGTTAGGAGGTAAGTTCAAAACTTCCAGGTAGTTGGTGTAGCCGCGGGGGGCGGGGGGGGGGGGGATAAAGGCTTTCAGAGCAAGCCCCAAGGCAGCTCAGTCTTCACTTGTCCGTGTAGGGATTTCAAGCACCAGCACCTTTCATTGTCCCGCAGCAGTTCCCTGGGGTGAGGGTGTGGTGTCCCTGGTGCGCTGTGACCAGGCCAAGTGTCTCAGGGCTGGGCTGTTGGTTTGTTCTTGGTGCTGTGGACGTGGGGTCCTTGTTGGGGCTGTTTTCAGAGTAGGGGACTTCTAGAGACCCCTAGCTTTGAGGTGTCCACAATACCAGGTGAAGACTGAGACCAGAAGGTCCTCTAAGACAGGACATAGAGCAGGGGTCCTCAAACTACGGCCCGCGGGCCACATGCAAATACAAATATTGTATTTGTTCCCGTTTTGTTTTTTTACTTCAAAATAAGATGTGCAGTGTGCATAGGAATTTGTTCATAGTTTTTTTTTAAACTATAGTCCAGCCCTCCAACGGTCTGAGGGACAGTGAACTGGCCCCCTGTTTAAAAAGTTTGAGGACCCCTGACATAGAGTGAAGCTAAGAGTATGAACTCTGGAGACAGATACCTGAGTTATAACCTGTAGGCAGGCCACTTACTGTCTGTGGGAATTGGGCAAGTTACTTAAGCCTGTGTGCTTCAGTTTTCCCATCTGTAAATATGGGGAGAATATTAGTACCTACTAATACCTATTCATTAGATGGTTGTGAGGTTTGAATGAGCTAATACAAGAAAAGTGGCTGGCACACAGTATGTGATACATGAATGTTTGCTGAAATTGTTACCGTTACACCTCTCACACTCTTGCCCCACACCAGGCACAAGAGACAGTGGAGTTCCTGGGTCCAGTTCCTGCAGCCAACCAAGGGCCCAGAAGAAGGGGGCGCTGGGCTCAGTCAGGCGTGGAGCTGAGTGTTCGCTCCATGCTGGACCTGCGGCAGCTGGAGACGCTGGCTCCAAGCTCTAGGGGTCCTAGCAGGGACTCTCTGGCCATGACCTCATCTGGTTCTGGGAAGCATGGTCAGCAGCCCCCTGAGACCTTACAGGTGAGCCAGTTTCTCCTAGTTCCCTGGAGATCTCCAAGCAGCCTTAGCCAACAGCTGGAGTCGAGCACTAGTCCAGTTATGCTCGCTTTGCCCCTGTGGCGCATGGGTAACCCAAACTGCAAATTCAGGGTGGGGCTGGCCAGGCTGTGTGATGGACTTGGGCAAGGTTCCTTGGGAGGCTGATGATACTAAGTGGTGGCTGGAGGTCTGCAGTCAGAGTGCCAATATAGTTCTAGAAGCTCAGGAACACGAGGTGGAGCCCAGCCTGGCTTCCTGGTGTCTGTCCTGAGTTGGGGTACCCAGCTTTTCCCAGAGTTGGCGCCCACCAAAACCTTGCCCACCCCTCCTCCTTCCCAGAGCATCTGTCATATCAGCAACCCCAGTCATACCCCTTTGTGTGTTTCCAGAATGAAAAGTCCCCTCAGCCTCACGCTTCCCAGCCCTGTTCCTGCCCCCACATTATCCGGTTGTTGTCCCAAGAGGAAGGGGTCTTTCCCCAAGATCTGGAGCCTACACCCATCGAAGATGGTATTGTCTACCCGGAGCCAAGTGACAGCCCCACCTTGGATACCAGGCAAGGGTTCTGCCACCACCAGACCCCTGGGGACCTGCAGCCCACTGTCTTCCCTTCCCTTTGAGTGTTCTTTAATGAGCAGAGGGCTGGCCCCAGGGTCCTTGGGGCTTGCCTACCATGTCACCACTTCCTCAGCCTCAGTCCTGTCACAGGTGGGGGAGAAGGAAGGCAGAAGTTTAGGGGGGCTGCTGCTTACCCCTGCTCACTGCCTCCCCCACTGCTGGCCTTCCTGGCAGTGAGTTCCAGGTGCAGGCCCCAGCTCGAGGGACCCTGGGACGAGTGTACCCAGGCAACAGGGGCTCAGAGAAGCACAGCCCTGACAGCGCCTGCTCTGTGGACTATAGCAGCAGCCGCCTTTCCAGCCCTGAGCACCCCAATGAAGGTGAGGCTGCAGCCTCGAGGGAGGTCCAGACCAGGCCGGTCAGTGGGCGTGGAGGCTCTGGTGGCAGACGGGTACAGCGTGGTGCTTTTCTCCCCTCCTCCCCTTCTAGACTCTGAAAGCACGGAGCCCCTGAGTGTGGATGGCATTTCCTCAGACCTTGAAGAGCCAGCTGAGGGTGATGAGGAAGAGGAGGAAGAGGAGGGAGGCACTGGTCCCTATGAGCTGCAGGAAGGCAGCCCCCGTACCCCGGACCAGGAGCAGTTTCTAAAACAGCACTTTGAGACTCTGGCCAATGGGGCTGCTCCAGGTGTGGTCACAGGGCCAGTGTAGGGCCTCTGCAGTCAGCCCTGCTCCCCTCTGCCTGGCTGAGAGGGAAGGTCCAAGGGCAGGCCATGCCCTGGGGTTGCCTTCTCCAGGGGGTAGAATCTGGGGCAAGGGTTTGCTTCAGTTCATGATTTCTGTCACCCTGGCAGGGGGCCCAGTCCGGGTACCAGAGAGGACAGAGTCTCAGAGCATCTCTTCACGATTCCTTTTGCAAGTGCTGACGCCCCCACTCAGGTACTCCCACAGCAGCTCTCACTCTGCCACAGGAGCTCGCTCTCCGGCCCTCCCAGTGCTTCCAGTAGGGCCAGTCCTGCCCCTGGGGCAGCATGGAGCCCTCCTCTCTCTAAGGCTTCCCCTACCCACCAGTTTTAGGACAACTGCCTTGGCTGGCTTTGTGCCCGCCTGCCCTCTCCTCGCGCTCCCTAGTGCTGTGAGAGCGTCTCCCCATCTTCCTCCTCCGGTCCTTCTTCCATGTTTCCTCCCTGCAGGGAACCGTCCCCATCTTCCTCAAGCCTGCCACTGACGTTGAAGCCAGTCCAGGTGCCGCAGGCTTCTGGTGAGCAGCTGAGAGGCAATGGTGCTAATCCTCCAGGAGCACCCCCAGAGGTGGAGCCCTCCCCTAGAAACCCTGGTCCCCAGCAGGCAGCCCCTGTGCTGTTGCCACGACGCCGTGTCAATGCGGACAGCAGCTGGATCTCCAAGAGCGTGGCCACAGCCAGCCCCTGTGGTGGACTCCAGAAAGCCCCGTCCATGCAGAGCCTGGCGCCACAGGGTGAGGGGCCTGGTGGGCTCAGTGCCAGGGTGTGGGGAGTGGAGCATGAGCTGCTAGAGGAAGGAGGGCCCGATGTCGCCCTCCGTGCCACTCTGCTTACCACTGGGTGTCCTTGAGTGCAGCAGTCGCCAACCTTTCAGACCTCGCGGACCACCGGTTGGTGACCGCTGCTTTAGTGGGTGTGTGCACGGCTCAGCAGGTATTTGAGCCTTGGCATCTGAGACACCTTCCTTACCACCTGACCTGCATATGTTTCTGTCTCCTCTGTAGGTGGGGCTCTTCTGCCAGGCCCATTACTCCTACGGGAGATGGAAGCCCAGGAGGGCCTACGTTCCCTGCCGCAGGCTGATGACCGGCTGTCTCTGTCTCGGCCCCACTCCTACCAGAACCCCACCACCAGTTCCATGGCCAAGATTTCCCGCAGCATCTCTGTCGGGGAGAACCTGGGCCTGGCGGCTGAACCTCAAGCTCCTGCCCCCATCCGGGTCCCACCACTCAGGCAGCTGGCCCTGCCCAGCCGGGCTCACCTGGTCCTGGACATTCCAAAGCCACTTCCTGATCGTCCTACCCTGGCCACCTTCTCACCTGTTACCAAGGGCCGGACCCCTAGTGAGGCAGAACAGCCTGGCTCCCCAGTGGGCCTAGGAAAGGCTCACAGTCCATCTGAGAGACAGGCCTGTTTAGGGGAGGGTTCCCCTCCCCGGCCTAGGACAGAGTGCCAGGTTCAGCTTGGGTCCAACAGCCCCTGTGCCCAGCACCTGCCGGTCGGCAGCCTCCTCCAAGACCCCGAGATCTTGCAGCCCCCACCCCCTGAGAAGACTCCCAACCCCATGGAGTGCACCAGGCCAGGGGCAGCCCTAAGCCAGGCCGCAGGTGTGCACAGCTCCCCAGCTTTCATCTCCTGCCCCATCCTCTCTCCCCCGTCTCTGTTGGCCGCTCTCTGGCTCCATTCCATTTCTGTGCGTCCAGCCTCTGGCGTTTTTCGTCCTGTCTGCTCCTGTCTCGGTCCATAAGTCACACCCCTGATGGTGAGACACTCCTGCCAACCTTCATGACCTCTCTGACCCACTTGACCTCAGTGCCTTCTGGCCTCTGGGACTGGCCCTTTCCTTTGGACCTTGTTTTCTGTGTGTCGGGAGGGTGTTGGGAAGGAAGAGGCAAGAGGAAGAGACTGAGGGCAAGTGGAGGGGGTATGATGCTGGGGGTAGCCTGTCTTGCTCTGAGCAGCCATGGGTGGGGAGGCCAGAAAGGGCAGGTTTGCTGGGCCTGAGCTGTATCTGTCTCTTCCAGAACCAGTGGTAAGCCTGGAGCAGTGTGAGCAGCTTGTGGCAGAGCTCCAGGGCAGTGTGCGCCAGGCCGTCCAGCTCTACCACTTGGTACGTGTTGGGCACCCACCCACATCAGGAGTGCTAGCTCAGTGTCCAGAATCTGATGCTAAGGCTCTTCCACTGGTGGGGGTGGAGCAATTAAGAACATCCTGGGCGGAGGAGGCGAGCGGGTTAGAGGCCAGGTCAGGCCACTTGAACCAAACACCTACTGGTTATTTCTGACTAAGAGCTAGTGACTTCCTCAGATCAGAAGGTGGGGTAGAGAGCCCACATGTCTTAGTTTGCTTCGGACCATCCCAGTTTATGCCTTGTGTCCCAATGTAATTATTAATAATATCCCTTCTCATATTTAAAAACTATTTGACTGCCCTGGACTGTTCGCCTTAAAAGAGGAGTTACAGAATTTAGATGGTGCCATAATGTGGTGTGCTCCTCTTTTGGGGTCACTCCAGTCTGCCTCCATCCCATAGCCTTTGGTCATACCTGCTGATCTTGGAGTGTGGGATTCCCAGTCACACAGCTGGGCAGGTAGTCCCTTGCTTGGGGGTGGGCTACCCAGGTGGAGCCCCTCCTTTTCATACATCCATTGACAGATCCCTCCACTGTTCCCCAACCCACTTCTGGGGTCCTGTTGCAGGTGGCTAGCTGCAAGACACCCTCGGTGGAGCAAAGTCGCATCACGCAGCTCCTCAGACGCACCTTCTCTTCAGTGCGGCAGGAACTAGAGGCCCTGCCCGGGACAGTGCTGCCCAGCCCCAGTGGAAGCCCTGGGGCTGTGGGAGCTGAGCAAACACAGGCCCTGCTAGAGCAATACTCAGAGCTGCTGCTTCGAGCTGTGGAGCGTCGCATGGAACGCAGACTCTGAACTCCAGAAGCCTGTCCCAAGTGAATGCTCCCCCTATTGCAAACTAGCCCCTCTCCACTCACTAAAACCTGTGGGGATGCTTGGAGTGGATAGCAGTGATCAATGCTCAGAGGGGAAGCAGCTTTCCCAGCTGCTCCTCATGGGGCCCCTGTATTTATTAATTTATTTCCCTGACTGTTGCCTCACTTCCTTGGAACTCCTGCCTCCACAACTCCTCCGGTAGCTCACGCAGGGGTTAGGTCTTGGGTCTTTGTCATCTTGGTGCTGTGAGGAGTAGGAGGGTGGCCTGCCCCATCTAGGAAGGGCTGGCCCTCTCTCTTCTTAGAAGCCATTTGAAATTACTGCAGGGATCAGCTCCCTGGGGTGGAGCACACACACAGGGTATTTTGTAGGTAGAGGTGAGAGGTAATGTGGTATTCAATACCCTTCAGCCAATAGCAGAGCCTCTCCTCTACCTCCACTTCCCCTCCCACACCAGCTGCACTCCCCTGGCTGCCAGAGCAGGGTTTATCCATTTTTCTCCAATTCCTGGCAGTTCAGAAAGGCAGAGCCCTCTGGCCCTTCAGGGCATTCCCAGCCATCAAGAATGTATCAAGGCCTAAGCCCCCACATTCCACTCCTATTCCCCCTCCAAGAGGGCCCTAGCATTGTCTTTTTCCCTGTGCCCCCTTTCTGCCTTGGCCAGAACTTGTGGAGCCAGCGGTGGGACATTGCTGCAGGACAGTAAAGCCCTCTGCTAGGCAGAAATGAAGCTCTGGCTCCTTTCCTCGTTCCCTTGTCCTTCCCTATCCTCCAACTCTGGTCCCCAGCAGGCTGCTGGAGCCCAGAGGCCATCTCCCTGCATCCTGAGTGATGCTCATTTAGAAGCCTGTGTTGGAGTTTCCCTGGCCCACCTTCTAAAGACCTTGGCCACAGATGAAATACACACATACACACACACACACACACACACACACACACACACACCTGTTGCATGTTCATTGCTAGAGTACTTGACTGACTCATGTGTGCCTGGTTTCCTCTCATGTCCTACCCGACTTCACCACCCTGGCTCATGGGGAATGCCTATCAGAAGCACGAAAAGGGGTGGAACACACTAAACCCAAATTCTGGGTTCTTGGTGTCCACAGCCTAGATGATATGAGATGCCCAAAGGATACTCGGTTTGGGTAGAGGGAGCCTCCTCAAAGGTAGTGGTGGGCACCCACGGTGCTCTGGATGTTGGAGGTTGAGAGGAGGGAGGCACATGGGGCTGCAGCAGGAGCAAGAGACACACTGGAAAGGTGGTAGGAGGGGCAGGTAAGTGGTAGAGGTGAGGGGATGGATGAGAATTGGAAGGGCAGTTCAGGGTGAGGGGAAGGAGACAGGGCACAGTGGGCAGGGAGAGTAGGACCAAGTAGTGGAGCAGTTACTGACATGTTGGGGTGAAGAATGTGTCTCGGCCCTACTGCTTCCCCTGCCTCAGGTAAGGCAGGGCAGCTTTACTGTATGTAGTTCCAGGCCACAAAAGCCCATTCTCCCTCCTATGGACAGGCCTTTGGGCCCTACTGACTCTATAGGCAGAGGCTGAGAAAGAATTGGATTCTGAAGGGGGCCCAGCTCTGTTTGGGTCAGCCTGAGTGCACCTGAACAGATGAAGCCTATTTCACCCCTACTGTTCTCTACTACCACCACCGCTATGGCCAATCTACAGAGAAACCCTGGGCCCAAGAACTCTCACAGATGAGGGTGGACCCCCTGGTGGGGCTGCAGCTATGCTAGTCAGGTTAGAAACACTTCCACCTGTACCCCAGCCCCCGCTGGCATACCGGCCACAGCCCATCCCGAATAGGGCTCAGGCTGGGCCGTGGGCTGGCTGGGTTCTTAGTAATCCTTAGCCAGCCTGTCCCTCACAAGGAGGAAGCAATACTCCAGCTAATGTTGGTGAGAAGGTGGCCGCCCTTTCCTACTCCTAGCCCAGCTTTTTGGGGGGCGGGAAGGTGGGGAATCTGTGGCCGGGCCGGCGCCCGTCCCCTTCTGCATGTCTGAGGCCACCGGCAGTTGCCGTTCTTGTTCAGATTTGCCCTGCCCCAGTTTTGAAAGCCCCTTATTTATAACTTTTATACTTTGTCCAGGTCCTGGCGCTTTCCCCCTCCCCAGGTCTTATGGGCAGGGGCTGTTTTTAACGTCAGTTTGTATTGATGTATGAACTGGTCAATAAACAATCATTTGCTAACTTTCCGACGCCAGCAAGTGGGGCAGGCAACAGAAGGCGCTTCTTGCTCGCTGCATGGATAGTGGAATCGGGGGTGCGCTGGGGCGGGGAGAAGGGGAGCTCGATCCAGGCAGCGGCTTCATCTGTGGGGACCCTACGAAGTCGTGGGAGTGCGGGGAGCTAGAGCCCTGGCGTGGGCCTCAGGGAGGTGGAGTCTTCAGGAAGGGAGGGCGGGGCCTGCAGGCGGGGGGCGGGGTAGGGGAGGGCCGGCCTGCAGGCGGAGGGCGGAGGGCGGGGTCTTCAGGAGGGAGG